AGAGAGAGAGAGAGAGACACACACAGAGAGGGAATTTTGGTGCAGAGAGAGAGACACACACACACACACACACACACACACAGAATTTTGGTGCAGAGAGAGAGAGAGAGACACACAGAGAGAGAATTTTGGTGCAGAGAGAGAGAGACACACACACACAAAGAAAATTTTGGTGCACAGAGAGAGAGAGAGAGAGAGAGAGAGAGAGAGAGACAAAGAGAATTTCGGTGCAGAGAGAGAGAGACACACACAGAGAGACTGAAAGTATGGAAAGAAGGGAGATGAATTTTGCCATTACTAAGTAATGACTACGTGTGTGTTTTTATGAATGCGTGTGTGAGTGAGATAGAGAGAGGGGGAGAGAGAGAGAGAGAGAAAGCATGGAAAGAAGGGAAAAGAATTTTGCAATAACAAATTGACTGCAATTGTGTCTGTATATGTGTGTTTGAGAGAGAGTCACTTGGTCATTTCCACTCCAGGTATTGACCAGCCAGGATTCATGCATGGCAGCAACTACCTTCTACCCTGGGACATCCTGGTGAAGGGGGACAGGGAAAAGTGGCCCGCCATTAACGAGGCACCAGGGGGGAAGAAGGGGAAGAATAAACGAGGGCAGAAGAGCATACCAGGTGAGTTTGTGTGAAAACAGTGGGGTCAATGAAGACAGTTCACACAAGGACTATTTTAAACCTGAAACAAACTGATTGATATGTTTTCAGATCTATTAACTTGAAAATGAATGGTCATAGACCCAGTAAAACCAGGTTATTTGGTCATTTAGTGATGTTAATATTAATAGTCTGTCTGACTGATTTGAGTGGGTCTTTAAATGAATTTCTCAGCAGATAAATGTTTTTAATTTGATTTTATTTTTATCATTTATAAAAACCTGAATACAACTGTCCCAGATGCCACAGGTCCCTAATAACTGATACACTATTAAATTTTGAGCAAATTTTCTATCCCTCCTGCAGAGATCAGCATGAAAGTTTACCTTGGACTAGAATACAAGTGCCCCAGAGGTGACAGGTCTCTGATAACTGATACACTATTATACATAGAGCATATTTTCTATCATTCCTTCAGAACCCGCAGAGATCAACATGAAGGTTTACCTTGGACTAGAGTACGAGTGTCCCAGAGGTCACAGGTTTTTCTGCAGTGGCCCTGAGAAGATCATCAAGGTGCCTGGGAGTGGGCCCCCAAAGGTAAGGATTATATCATCATTGATTGGTGTCTTAGTAACTGGGATTTTCATGCCAGTTGAATTGTTATCAAAAATTATCCCCCCACTTGGATTTGGGGGGTTTGTTTTTATTTTTTTCCCAACCCTTGGAAAATTTAGCTGTGAATGATTGACCAGTAACCTGTCTTCCTGTAGATTTTAGAAGAAAATAACCACATCATGAACTTTTGTTTGTGAAGTTTTTATCATTCTGGTTTGGTGAAAAATACCCTGGGGAAGTGCTGCATATGATACACAGTATCACAGGGGCGGATTTAGGCCATCTTCTGGGTCTTCCGGAAGACGGTCAGATTTTCAAGTTTACATTGACGGGTATCTAATTTTTTCTGTCGGAAGACGGTCAAAAAATGGAGGATGTACCAACAAATATAATATGGAAGACTGTCAGAAAATATCTCTGGATCCGCCCCTGTATCATGTGATGCACAATATCATAAGATACATAATATCAGGGTCATTTGTTCTTGGCATCCATGGTGATGAATCCTTTCAATTTAAATGAGTATTACTAAGTTGTTTTTTTTTTCTGAAATTTTAGGACAATGCCAACAAGCTTCTGAGTAATGACATGCCACTGTACTTTCCATGTCACTGTAGGTAAGGGATTGCTGTTTTGGAAGTGAACATTTTATAATGTCAGTTGTGATATAGTATTTGATCAGATATATCAGACGTTCTACTTACTGAAAAATTTTTAAAGCACAAAATGTTCTTGCTCATAAACCTTATTTTTTTCAGAACTTTTGATTATTTTTTCAAGGTTTTTTTTCTAAACACAGCATTTAAAACATAATTATTGATTGATTTTGCTCATATAAAATGTATAAAAATTATGACTTTGATTAGTGAAATGCATACTTCAGCTATGACACATTTTCGAAAGGACCCCTAATTGCACATTCAAAAAATCATTTTCCTGAAAAAAATTGAGAATTGAAATAAAACAGCTGTTTGAATATTAATAAAGATTGTTATTTAAGAGACTGTAGTATGCCTATGAAGATCTTGAACCCTTCCTCAAAGATACTTAATGTGAGCACTTTAGAAACAATATTTACTTAATTTTTTTTTCATCAGCAATGTAGAACCTATTTCACCATTTTTGAGTCTTGTCAATAATTCATATGCAATCCTTTGTATCAGGAGTTCCAAAGGTCTGATGGCACAGTTGATGAGAATATACATAGCCACACCTGAAGGCCCTACCAACATCTCTATCAATCCCAGAATTCAGCCTGCGCCTCTGCCGTGCCCTGTATTTATGCCTAGTCATGATGGCGCCATTGTTCTGCCACAGGGAGGAATATGGGTGCTGCGGTTACCGTATCCTTCTCATTGTTTTTTTGTTTGTTTTTTTTCATTTTAAGTGATTGAAATGTGGTGGATGCAGATTTTATGTATTATGTAATACAGGTTTGTTGAATACATGTATGTTTAGGATATGGCGCATTTAATATAGGTATGATCACAAAGTCTCAGCATAAATTTATATACTAATTTGAAGGCAATTTTCAATCCTTTTTCTTTCATGCCCAATATGATCTGTATTGAAATGTTTTTTTTTTATGTCACTTTATGAATTACATATATGTTCCACTCATACTTGATTTATTGATATATTAAGCTTGCATGGGTCAAGTAATTGTATTTTAAATAGTTTGTATCCCACAAAATTATAAATCCCATATCCCTGTATTCAAACATAATTATAATCAAATTATAATCATAATGATTTTTAAAATTGTTTTCCTTAATAAGAATGTACAGTTATGTATACATGGGCGATCATGGTCCGTACAGGATTCCAACAGAAGCCAACAACCTGCCAGCTTGTAGGTTACTGAAAGGGATGTTTGCTTATACCCATGGGGAATGAGGCTACGAACTGGTTCAAAACCCATAATGTTAGTGTCCATTAAAATCGCCAGTTGACCATGATGTGGACTGCGAATTTAAAAGGCAGTTTGAAAAATCATCCAAATTTGAAGTTAGTTGGTCCAATGATACTGGCGAGGCATTCATCAAAATTCCAGCATCTTAGTCAAATATTTTCAGTTTTGACGTGACATGTTACGAACTGAATAAAGCTCCAAAGCTCTCTTTTGGGGTCAAAGTTGGTCCAACAGAACCTGAGGAGAAGGATATTATTTTATAAGCCACGAGTTCTAAGGCTAACAAGATCAGCAGGGGGGCGGTGTCAATCTGTTGACCAGTAAACTAATGAGATTTTTCTATGGGAGCCAAAAGTATCATTTCTGAGATCGATGCTCAGGGTTTCCAGTACCCCAAGCCATATTTTCAGACTTTTTCACCAAATGGCGGTCGCATCCCTGCTTAATTAACTGCTAAAAATATTTCCCAAGCAAAAACTGAAAGTTGGAGACATTTAACGCAGGATATTGCAAACGACACAATCTACGTTGAAATCATTAAATGACACTGAAATCACTAATATTGTTTTAAGGGAAATTGTTTTACTTTCACATGAACATCTTTTGACCATTTTGCAAACTACAAATTCAAGTTTTAACACCAGGTCATGTTTATTTTCTAAACGATCGACGTGAAATCTGCTTGAAAAAGTTATTAAGCATTAAAGAATAATAAAGGAATTCACCTGACTTTTTCTTGTCAATTTCACATTTACTACATGTACATGCGACTTTTCTAATTATGAAATTCTCCACGGATTTGAGGACAAAAAAGTTTTTTGAATGGGAATTTTTTTTCAGCATGATTTTTGGTCCGCACAATACGTCACCCGGAATACCGCAGAGCAGTTGTTGGCGACCCAGATTTTGTTGCCGTGGTAACCGAAACTTCTGCCCTGCACGCAAGCTGAGAAACAGGGCTCCTTCTTCCCTTTCTTAGCGTTTAATTCTTTCTTGGCAAAGATGTCGATAATCATACCTTCAACTTCACATTCGTTGAATGACCAGTTGATGCTTTTACATTTTACGGAACCTAAGAACGAAAAAAATTAGATACGAAAACGGTGAGCATGGTTTTCCAATTACGCATGTAAACCACTTCTAGTAATTTCTTATACGACTCAGATTAAGTGGACATGGCCAGAGGTAAAAGGAAAAATCACTAATCTGCCATAATTTTTTTTTTTTTGGTTAATATGAAACTATGTATTTTGACATATCTCCAAGTTATACTATATGAAACTATACCTGTATGGCAGAATACGGTCGGCCTTTGATGCAAAAATTGATTTCAAATTTATCTTTAATGAACAACTAAATGAAAATACCAGCTGCTGAAAGAGAGAAAAAGTACTGTTTTATTCTTGGAGGTGGTGGAGGGTGTGTTTGTACATACGTGTTTTGACTTTCTGACACTGGAAACTGACTTGGAACTGCCCCTTGCATCCTTTTACATAGATCCTGTCCTCTGCCAAGCCGTACATCAACCCTGGGACGCACACGCTATCGGTCACTTTCTCCGGACGCTGAGTGACCAGTGTGATGTCTTTAACCGGGTGACCGACGCAACATTCCGTCCTGTAATCTCCGTGACAGTCGCAGTCCAATCGTCCTTTCTTGGTGGAGGCTGGAAAGATTGTGATGAAATTGAACATCGTGGCATATTAAATCATCGCTCTTTTCTTTCGTAAACGTTTTGCTCCATTGTATGTGTGATAACTTGATTTGGCGCTGTTTTATCAACCGCTTATTTTTAAATTTCGTATTACGTATTAGGCTTCGTTATTTTTTAAAATAAATGACGATTTTCAGTCAAATGGACTAACTTTTTATTTATTTCTGAGTAAAAACTGAGCCTTTTCTGCTTGTGAACATTTGACGAAATTTACGTGGATTTTGGTAAATGCTTGACATACTCATGTACGCTGTTATTTGAAGCTAGCAAAAAAATTTTTAAAAAGGGAAAGTTGTGAAACTTACCTGGCAGATTAGGAGGACCTTGCGCCGAGGACTTTCTACTCGATTTCGTTTTACTCTCTTTATCTGCGACTAGTCAAAGAGAGCACAACAAAAAGATATTTATCTACGTGGACAAAAGCTTCTTCTTTTTAAACTCATAATAAAAATCAAATGAAATCAATATGGCTGTTTACCAGATTTTAATCTTTTTAAGCACACAATGAAATGTAAAATATGGCGAAAAAAGAATAAATATAAGCGATGTGATGGTCATTCGTCGATTTCCCACCTTCAACACTTGAAGCTTGCGAAGAGAGCGAAAATAACAACGTACGTAATAAAAAATACCAAACCTACCTGGCAGACTTTTTGCTGAGGATTTCTTGCTCGATTTCGTTTTGCTTCCTATATCTGCAGCTGGCAAAGAGAGCATAAAAATGTACATTTATATACTTATCCACAAGCTTATCTGAAACCATTTTCTATTTTAACGCTCATAGTGAAGACAGCCCAGGGATGAGAAGAAAAACTGAGCATGACCAAAATCCAATTTAATCAAAATGCCTTTCTTACTTGCTCTTTTTGTTAACCCTTCCGATATGAAGGATACAAAAAAAGAAAATCCAACTTACCTTTTAGACTAGGATGACTTCCAGCTGAGGACTTTTTGCTTGATTTCGTTTTTCTACTTATATCTGCGACTAGAAAAGAGAGCACAAGAAAAGATGAATTTTTATCTACGTGACCACAAGCTTTATCGAAATCGTTTTAATATTTTTACACACAGCGCAGGGATGAGCAGAAAAATCTAAGTATGACCAAAATCCTATCTAAACAGTACGAATGACTGTCTACCTGAGTTTTTTACAAAAAAAAAAAAATTAAAGCGCAGCATAAAAGGAAGGTATTTTCAGTAATGGAGACCTAGCGTGCGATCCCGTCACCACACCCTCCCCCTCAGAAATTGAAGCTAGCGATATGAGTGAAAAATACATCGAAAGTAAAATTATCAAACGTACCTGACAGACTAGGACGACTTTTTGCTGAGGACTTTTTGCTCGATTTCGTTTGGCTCCTTACGTTGGCGACTAGCAAGGAAAGCACAATAGAAATGAGTATTTATCTATGTAGCCACATTTGAAATCGATGTTATGCTTTTTACGCACATCGTAAAGACTGCGCAGGCAGGAGCAGAAAAACGGAGAATAACCATAAATCCTATTTGAATTATATTGCCTACTTCCTACCTTAGCTGTATATTTTTGCCTTTTAATACAATTAAATCATTATTAGCAAAAATAAAGTGTAAAATGATGTGTAAAAGGGATTGAGATATCTAACGGATATCAAAGCTTTTCGTCAGTTTTCCCAACTTCAACACTTGAAGCTCTCAAAGAGAGCAAAATCATGCAACGAAAGAGGTGAAAATGTCAAACCTACCTGATCGACTAGGAGAGCTTTTTGCGGAGGACTTTTTGCTCGATTTCGTTTTGCTCACAACATCTGCGCCTTGCAAAGAGTGCAAAAATAAATATATTTATCTACGTGACCAGAAGATTATAAGTAATCGTTTTTATACTTATATAACACATAGTAAAACCAGCGCAGGGATATGCAAAGAAAAGTGAAAATAACTAAAAAATACTATTCAATCGAAATAACTGACATTTACTTGCTCTTTTTTAAACTTAATATTTTTAATTTGCAAAAAATAACTGTAAAATTCTGCCAAAAGGGAAGGAAACTATCTAACTGGCATGAAAAAATACATCGAAAGTAAAATTATCAAACGTACCTGACAGACTAGGACGACTTTTTGCTGAGGACTTTTTGCTCGATTTCGTTTGGCTCTTTACGCCCGCGACTAGCAAGCGAAGCACAATAAAAATGAGTTTTATCTACGTGGCCACATTTGAAATCGATTTTATGCTTTTTACACATATCGTAAAGACAGCACAGGCTGGAGCAGAAAAGCGGAGAATAACTCAAGATCCTATTTGAATTGTATTGCCTACTTTCTAACTTAACTGTATATATTTTCCTTTTGATATAATTTTAATTAAAAACCATTATAAACACAAAAAAGCGTAAAATGCAGTGTAAAAAGGACTGAGATATCTAACCGATATGAAAGCTATTCGTCAGTTTTCCCAACTGCAACGCTTGAAGCTTGCAAAGAGAGCAAAAACATGCAACGAAAGAGGTGAAAATATCAAACCTACCTGATCGACTAGGAGAGCTTTTTGCGGAGGACTTTTTGCTTGATTTCGTTTTGCTCGCAACATCTGCGCCTAGCAAAGGAAGCAAACAAAAAAAATTATTTACGTGACCAGAAGATTATCAGAAATTGTGTTTATACCTCCTGTACACAAAGGTAAGTCAACTTGGACGCAGGGACATGCAAGGAAAACTGAGAATAAGTAAAAGAAATACTATTTTATCAAAATAACTGACATTGTACTTGCTCTTTTTTAAACTTAATCTTTTTAATTTGAACAAAATAACTAAAATTCTGCCAAAACGGGAGGAAACTATCTAACTGACATGAAGGCCTCTCGTGCGCCCCCCCCCCCCTTCCCACACACACACACACGCTCACTCAAAATTTGAAGCTAATGAAATGAGTGAAAATACATCGAAAGACAAATTAAGACAAAAAGGTAAAATGCAGCGAAAAACGGATGAAAATATTTAACTGATTTGAAGACCATTCGCCCGCCCCTTACGATCAAATTTCAAAGCTTTCAAAGAGAGTGAAAAAGTACAACGAAAGAAAAAATTATCAAACGTACCTGGCAGACTAGGATGACTTTTAACTGAAGACTTTTTGCTCGATTTCGTTTGGCTCTTTACGCCCGCGACTAGCAAGGAAAGCACAATAAAAATGAGTTTTTATCTACGTGGCCACATTTGAAATCGATTTTATGCTTTTTACGCACATCATAAAGACTGCGCAGGAAGGAGCAGAAAAACGGATATTAACCATAAATACTATTTGAATTATATGACCAACTTTCTACCTTAACTGTATATTTTTGCCTTTTAATATAATTAAACCGTTCTTAGCACAAAAAAGTGTAAAATGCAGTGTAAAAGGTAGTGAGATATCTAACCGATATGAAAGTTCTTTGTCATTTTCCCCCAACTTCAACGCTTTAAGCTTGCAAACAGAGCAAAACCATGCAACGAAAGAAGTGAAAATGTCAAACCTACCTGGTTGGCTAGGAGAGCTTTTTCCGGAGGACTTTTTGCTCGATTTCGTTTTGCTCGCAACATCTGCGCCTAGCAAAGGAAGTAAACAAAAAATATTCACGTGACCAGAAGATAATCAAAAATCGTTTTTATTTCTTTAATATTTATTTATCTTCTTATTATTATTTTATTTATTTATTTTATTCATTTTATTATTTATTTATTTATTTATTTATTTTGTAGCTAGCGAAATGAGTGAAAAAGACAAATTATCGAACCTACCTGATAGACTAGGTCGACTTTTAGCTGAGGACTTTTTGCTCGATTTCGTCTGTCCCGCAACGTCGGCTCCTATCTCATCTGAAGGAAGAACAAGACATTTTTCACTTATGCGACCAGAGCTTTATTTAAAATCGTTTTCCACCTTTATGCACATAGTTAAAATGGCGCTGAGAAGAGCAGAAGAACAGAAAATGGCCAAAAATCTCATTCAAGCAATTCGGCTGACATTTTATTTGTTATTATTTAAGTTTCAATTTTTACAATTAGTACAGAAGTGTAAATTGGTTGGAAAAGGGAGGAAGCTATTCAACTGATACATGTATGAAGGCCTATGGTGCGAATTCCCGAAAATTTGAAACAAGCACAGAGATACAAATGAAAAAATTATAACACCTACCTTGTGGGCAAGGAGGACTTATATCCGAAGACTTTTGTCTCGGCGACGTTTTGCTTTTAATATCTGATTGTGGCAAAGAGACAACAGGATAAATTTATTTTTTTTATGTCAGTGAGCAGAAGCTTGTCCGAAACCCCCTTTCTACTTTTTACACACTCAGTAATGCCATTGCAAAGATGACCACAGAAAATGAAAATGACCAATAATCCTGTTTAATCAATGTGAGTGTTTTGACTTTTTTCATTTCAACATTTACGCACCAAATAAAACCTAAAATGCAGCGAAAAACGGATGGAAATATTTAACTGATTTAAAGACCATTCGCCCGCCTGCCCGTCCCCCTTACGATCAAATTTTAAAGCTTTCAAAGAGAGTGAAAAAGTACAACGAAAGAAAAAATATCAAACGTACCTGGCAGACTGGGACGACTTTTAACTGAGGACTTTTTGCTCGATTTTGTTTGGCTCTTTACGTCTGCGACTAGCAAGGAAAGCACAATAAAAATGAGTATTTATCCAAGTGGCCACATTTAAAATCGATTTTACGCTTTTTACGCACATCGTAAAGACTGCCCAGGCAGGAGCAGAAAAACAGAGAATAACTAAAAATCATATATGAATTACATTGCCTACTTTCTACTTTAACTGTATATTTTTTGCCTTTTAATATAATTAAACCATTATTAGCACAAAAAAGTGTAAAATGAAGTGTAAAAGGTAGTGAGATATCTAACCGATATGAAAGCTCTTTGTCTTTTTTCCCCCCAACTTCAACACTTTAAGCTTGCAAAGAAAGCAAAAACCTGCAACGAAAGAAGTGAAAATGTCAAACCTACCTGGTTGACTAGGAGAGCTTTTTGCGGAGGACTTTTTGCTCGATTTCGTTTTGCTCGCAACATCTGCGCCTAGCAAAGAGAGCAAAAATAAACATATTTATTTACATGACCAGAAGATGATCAGAAATCGTTTTTATACTTCTGTAACACATAGTAAATCCAGCGAAGGGATATGCAAAGAAAAATGAAAATAACTAAAAAATCTATTCAATCAAAATAACTGACACTTACTTGCTCTTTTTCAGATTTAAAATATTCCTAATTTGCAAAAATGAGTGTAAAATTCAGCCAAAAGGGAAGGAAACTATCTAACTGCTACCCTCTATCAAGTCCACTGATTGATTTTTCACTAGATATTCACGTGTGTCGGGCTAAATATGGTCAATCTTCTAACCGTGGCAAGTGAAAAATGTGCCTATTATATCTGCCACCCTGGTAGAGGGCGTCTAACCGATATGAAGGGCTCTCGTGTGCCTCCCCCCCCCCCCCCACACACACACACACATACTCAAACACACACGCTTACTGAAAAATTTGAAACTAGCAAAAAAAGGGAAAAATACACCAAAAAACTTATCAAACATACCTGATAAGCTAGGATGACTTTTAGCTGAAGACTTCTTGCTCGATTTCGTCTGTCCCTCAACATCTGCTGCTAGCTCAGCCGAAGGGAGAACAAGAATTTTTTTATATTTACGTACATGACCAGAGACTTATCTAAAATAGTTTCTAGTTTTACACAGTAAAGGCAAGGATGAGCAAAAAAACCTGAGGATAACCAAAACTCCTATTTGAATTATATGACCTACTTTCTACATGAACTGTACATATTTGCCTTTTAATAATATTTAACCTTTATTAGTACAAAAAAGAGTAAAATACAGCGTAAAAGGGAGTGACATATATTACCGGTATTAATGCGATTCGTCTTCTTTCTCACCTTAAACTTTTCAAGGTTGTAAAAAGAGCAAAAAAAACGTACAACGAAAGTAGTAAAAAAATATACCTACCTGGTTGACTAGGAGGGCTTTTTGCAGAGGACTTTTTGCTCGATTTCGTTTTGCTCGCAACGTCTGCGCCTAACAATGGGAGCAAACAAAAAAATTATTTACGTGACCAGAAGATTATCAGAAATCGTTTTTATTCTTTTTGAAGCTAGCGAAATGAGTGAAAAAGACAAATTATCGAACCTACCTGATAGACTAGGTCGACTTTTAGCTGATGACTTTTTGCTCGATTTCGTCTGTCCCTCAACGTCGACTCCTATCTCATCTGAAGGAAGAACAAGAAATTTTTCACGTATGCGACCAGAGATCAACCTAAAATCGTTTTCTACTTTTATGCACATAGTAAAAATAGCGCTGAACAGAGCAGAAGAACAGAAAATGACCAAAAATCTTATTCAATCAATTTGGCCGACTTTTTATCTTTTATTATTAAAGTTTCAATTTTTACAATTAGCACAAAAATGTAAATCGGTTGGAAAATGGGGAAAGCTAATCAACTGATATAAAAGCGTATTATATAAAGGACCATACTTGAAACAATTTGAAACAAGCACAGAAATATGAAAGAAAAAATTACAAAACCAACCTTGTGGACAAGGAGGACTTAATTCCGAAGACTGTTCCCTCGGCGACGTTTTGCTTTTAATATCTGAGTGTGGCAAAGATAAAACAAGAAAAAAATATATACATATATATGTGTATATGTAAGTGAATAGAAACTTCTCTGAAATCGTTTTTGTACTTTTAACACACTGAGTAAAGACATCGCAATGATGACCAAAGAAACTGGGAAATACCAATAAACCTATTAAATTATTTTGACTGTCTATCTGACTGTCTACCTGCCAAATTTTTTTTAAATATTCCAAACGTAAAATGCAGCAAAAAAATATTCCGCCGCCCCACCCCCACCCCCCTCGTACGTTCAAATTTGAAATTTTCAAAAAAAAAAGTGAAAAAATTCAACGCAAGAAAAGTTATCAAACTTACCTGGCAGACTAGGAGGACTCTTAGCCGATGACTTTTTGCTCGATTTCGTTGTGCTCTCAGCGCCTGCGACTAGCAAAGAGAGCGCAAGAAAGAGCGCAAAAGTCACCGCTACAGCTCTTCTCGGATCCATTCTCTCTCCTCTGATCGGAATCCAGCAAAGAGACTGTGCCGACTTACACAATTGCAGATATTATATATGCATTAATGATGTATGAGATGGTATTTCCCTATGCAGCGAGCATTGTCAGTAGTTGGCAACGGACTGGAATGTAACCGGGGAGTGTAATGTATACAAGGTCCCGTTCAGTCTGGGGTTTTGATACCAGTGTGACAGGAATGGTAGTCCCAGGAATGTAGGTCCGGGGTTCCAAGCGGACTGCCATTCCTATCACACCCGTTTTAGCCCCCCCCCCCTCCTCCACGTCCGACTTCATATCGTAGTCGCTTGACTACACCCACTTTATATGAAATAGGAAATAAAAATGGTAGTGTAATGTTATGTTTACAAGGTCGCGTTCAGACGGGTTTAACAAACATTGTTTTAGTCCCCAAGATACTAGTATTCTTGATTGAAATCCTCCCCAATTTTCTTTCTCTCCTCTAGAAAAAATTCTGATTGTAAAGAGAGAACCTACCCCCCCCCCTTCCGTTATTGTTATGAAAAGTTGCTCGATTTGAATCCTCTTTCCCCCCGCCCTTCCACCGTAAAATGGTCAGCACAGTGCGGGTATTACAAAGAATGTGGTGGAAGGGGTGTATTATATAGCCTAATGACTTATGTTCGAACTGCAACAATTTTGTCAAGACCCGACAACGCTAGGCCCTATTTGCAATCTCTCTCTCTCTCCCTCTCTCTCTCTCTCTGCTTCAGTGAGATTCACGATTACCTCACTAAATCATAAATTATTTTGCCAATTTACGCAAATCAAAAAGTCATCAAGTTGTTATACGTAGTCCTTTATTGTGGTAAAGCATGTTTCTGCATATTATTTTGAATATATGTAAATTTGTGGTGCTGCACTGCAAATATTGAGGCTAAAAATCTCAACTGACAAGTCTTTCCACTACCGGGTTTGCAACCGATCAGAACAAATTTTTGCAAGCTCCCCGCCTTCAAAATTGTGGCTTTGACAAAAAACACCAAATTCATTCATCTTCATTGAGATTCATAATTACCTCACTAAAAATGTAACAGCTTTTTATTTTGTTACATATTTGTGAGAGCAAGCCGAAATCAGCCCCCCAAGCTCTCGCCAGTCTCGTGTAACAGGGTCTATGTTATGTAGCAGGTACCCCGAGAATCAACGATTCACTATGCGACCTACCATGTTTATACTATATTAGTTACACGCAACATCTGGGACACTAAATGGCTAAAACAGGGTGTCATCAGGCCTTACAAACGTAGGCCTATTTGCCGTTTGCGATCTTGAGTCACGGGTTGGTGATCACGAACGCCGAATTAAGGACTCAAACGGCGATTTCATGGGGCAAACGTAAAAACACTTGTCGCGAGATCTCAAAAGGCAATTGTCATTCATGAAGCCTGACCCTACGTGAATTGACCCCGTACTTATTGCCATATATATAATTGTGTTACCCTGTATACTAATAAAGGTGGCCCTGATGAATCCCGCGGGGGTGGGGTGGTGGTGGACTTATATTTCTCACAATCCTCAAAACTTAGCCCATCCCTCGGGAATAACCGCTGACTTGTCGATAATATCATATGGGAGAGATTCTGAGGCTCAGGGTGTCTCCTATGGATTTGAACTTTCAAAAATTTAAAAGAGAAAATTCTAATGATATGGAAACCGTCAATCATGAGTTTCTGTCACAAGGTCCGCCTGTCAAATTAAATCATAAACCGCAAAGAAGAATGATTTGTGTTGGTACGCTCACGTTATAGATTAACGCTAGACCACTCCTAGTGTTTTTATGCAGTATTTTATGAGGACGTTTTCTTTCTGTAATGCACCCGATAGCTTCAAACTAGCATTTTCATTTCCTTCAAGTCCTTTCTTCTATTGTGGTAAATTGAATGTATTATATTTGGTGTGAACGCCTTAAATACTTGACCATTCGACCAAAGTGCATATTGAGATGAGTCTAGGGAGTATGTACGGTGTTTAAAAGTTAGACATTTATTTTTTGACAGTTCAGAAAGATCGTTATTTTGAATAATTATAAAATAACCNCCAATTTTCTTTCTCTCCTCTAGAAAAAATTCTGATTGTAAAGAGAGAACCTACCCCCCCCCCTTCCGTTATTGTTATGAAAAGTTGCTCGATTTGAATCCTCTTTCCCCCCGCCCTTCCACCGTAAAATGGTCAGCACAGTGCGGGTATTACAAAGAATGTGGTGGAAGGGGTGTATTATATAGCCTAATGACTTAAGTTCGAACTGCAACAATTTTGTCAAGACCCGACAACGCTAGGCCCTATTTGCAATCTCTCTCTCTCTCTCTCTCTCTCTCTCTCTCTCTCTCTGCTTCATTGAGATTCATGATTACCTCACTAAATCATAAATTATTTTGCCAATTTACGCAAATCAAAAAGTCATCAAGTTGTTATACGTAGTCCTTTATTGTGGTAAAGCATGTTTCTGCATATTATTTTGAATATATGTAAATTTGTGGTGCTGCACTGCAAATATTGAGGCTAAAAATCTCAACTGACAAGTCTTTGCACTACTGGGTTTGCAACCGATCAGACAAATTTTTGCCAGCTCCCCGCCTTCAAAATTGTGGCTTTGACAAAAAACACCAAATTCATTCATCTATCTGCTTCATTGAGATTCATAATTACCTCACTAAAAATGTAACAGCTTTTTATTTTGTTACATATTTGTGAGAGCAAGCCGAAATCAGCCCCCCAAGCTCTCGCCAGTCTCGTGTAACAGGGTCTATGTTATGCAGCAGGTACCCCGAGAATCAACGATTCACTATGCGACCTACCATGTTTATACTATATTAGTTACACGCAACATCTGGGACACTAAATGGCTAAAACAGGGTGTCATCAGGCCTTACAAACGTAGGCCTATTTGCCGTTCGCGATCTTGAGCCACGGGTTGGTGATCGCGAACGCCGAATTAAGGACTCGAAAGCGCGATTTCATGCGGCGAACGTAAAAACATTAGACGCGAGATCTCAAAAGGCAATTGTCATTCATGAAGCCTGACCCTACGTGAATTGACCCTGTACTTATTGCCATAGATATATAATTGTGTTACCCTGTATACTAATTAAGGTGGCCCTGATGAATCCCGCGGGGGTGGGGGGTGGGGTGGTGGTGGACTTATATTTCTCACAATCCTCAAAACTTAGCCCATCCCTCGGGAATAACCGCTGACTTGTCGATATGGGAGAGATTCTGAGGCTCAGGGTGTCTCCTATGGATTTGAACTTTCAAAAATTTAAAAGAGAAAATTCTAATGATATGGAAACCGTCAATCATAGAGTTTCTGTCACAAGGTCCGCCTGTCAAATTAAATCATAAACCGCAAAGAAGAATGATTTGTGTTGGTACGCTCACGTTATAGATTAACGCTAGACCACTCCTAGTGTTTTTATGCAGTATTTTATGAGGACGTTTTCTTTCTGTAATGCACCCGATAGCTTCAAACTAGCATTTTCATTTCCTTCAAGTCCTTTCTTCTATTGTGGTAAATTGAATGTATTATATTTGGTGTGAACGCCTTAAATACTTGACCATTCGACCAAAGTGCATATTGAGATGAGTCTAGGGAGTATGTACGGTGTTTAAAAGTTAGACATTTATTTTTTGACAGTTCAGAAACATCGTTATTTTGAATAATTATAAAATAACCTTATGAGTCAAGGGAAATAATTTTAATAATACTGATAGATAATGCACCAAAATTGCAAAATTGCGAAAAGCCAGTAAAGGATAATTATCTAAAAAAGAGAAAATATTTCGTCGGTGTTTTCGAGTTTTGAAGTTGATAGTGACTGCTGGTTGATAACCAGCAAAGTAACGGTCCGGCCATACAACTCCATGTTACGTCTGTTACACTCTCTCTCACTCTCTCTCCTTGTGCAATTTTGAATTTTGAATATCGGTCTGGTGTTTCAAAGGTGTACTGCTTTTAGGTTATTTGATGTAAATCAAGTGCACATTTCGTTAAATTTTGATAAGAAAAAACTAAAAATCAATAAACAAACAGTGAGAACGTACTTAGAAAGAAATGGGAGTGTCTTGCGACTTTTGTTCACAAATTTAACGCCCTGGTTTGCAGTTTATAACCAAAAAAACTACAAAAAGTTAATTCAAAAGCGAAAATGAATTGACATAAAAATACAATGTATAAAGCACAGAAAACACATTGATCAAACCCTCGGCGACCCATGCAGGATCTAAATCAGACCACGCAATATGAAATGCTATGAAAACATTGATAATGCGCATAGTTTTATATAAATGTTGGCAACAGCCTTGTTATCAGGGCAGAATACAATGCTACAAATGGGACAATTAGTATATGTATATTTAATGTGCCCTCCTCGTGCCAGTTACGCCTTGAAATATATTCATTTACGTACGTCACCACCGGGGCAACGTGCGTTTGTTGACAAGCAATGGCGGTGCACTTCTGGACACCGTGTATACAATTAAATTACGGTAATCACTCACGGATGTCGAACACCCCTCTAATTCCAAACATTTTTTGTGCACAAAATTCGTATTTTTAACTACTGACAGAACATTCGTTTCGTGCAAAAAATGTCCGAGTTTGAAAATGTAATTTACAGTTGATTTGCCACTTCAGTAGACTGAAAAGTCGAACGCACAATGTTCTTTCCTATGCACTTTATTTTTACAAAATAGTAAAACAGTGAAAACCCGGCAAAGTTATTTCTTGTGCTCTAGCTAACATCTTTATGTTACACATGAAGTATTTTGGTCAAATCTAATTGATAATAATAATAAATCAAAGTTCTTCAAATTCAGGGATAAGTTACAGCATCTATCATATATTTTATACTCGAAAAGGCCAAGAGCTCTCCGCGTGGCAGTGACCTTAGGAGCCAATGCCCAAAAGAAGTATAAACCAATTCATGGCTAAAAGTATGTGAATACTAGAGCACATGTACTTTATTAGAAAAGGGTTTATTCAGCCATTAATGTACAAATTCAAAATTCACATATAACGGTCAGGGACGAATATTTCTATGTCCATCAGAGCACCTTTATCAGGGAATGAATATCAATTTTAGAATTTAGCCGTTAATTTAAGAAAAAATTACTGTATTCTCACACATAACGGAAATTGAATTTCTATTGGGATAAAATGTATAAAATGCTATTCGGGTAAAGTATTCAAGGTTACACTGTGGTTGCTAAAATTCTATTTTTTCTTTTGTTAAAATGAGCAAAAACAGATGGATAAAAATTCCTTAGAAACCCTTTGGACCCTTTGAAAGAAGTAGTCTTCGAACTGGTTAAAAAAAGAGAAAGCCTTAGCATTTAAAGGACAGCACCTTTAAGTGATGTTCTAAACTGAAAGAACATTGTCAGACGGGAAGATCAAGACGTCATTTGTAATATAATGTACGTGAGAATTGGGCTTCTTTATGTTTTCTGTTTTTTCTACCTCCCCTTTCCGCCTTTCCACTCAGTTCTGAAAAATAAAATTAAAATCAAAATTTAGAAATCTTTATCAAGAATGCACAAAATAACACACGACAATTGTCATGAATCTTGCAAATATACTAACAAATTCATGGGTTTATGAATGGTAAGAAAAAGAAACAGTCATTTTTGGCATACTGTATGCATCGCAGGCTCAAACCAAGCTCAAACACTTTATGGCTCCTCGACCTAAATTAATGCTGACAAGAGTATTTGCGTTAACAAGGATAAACATAGAAATTATTGTTCTAAATTTGGCCAATTTTGGCACTATTTCATGTAAATATTCTCATCAGAATTTCACATTTAAATTAACTAGCATTTGTTCACTTACTTAGGAAACATTTGGAAAGCCCGTTGCTCGTTAATTTTCCAGTATGTACTATTGGTCGTTTTGTCAAACCTGCCGTCCATTATGCCTTTCCACACGTTCTGGAAGTGCATACGACGTATAAAAAAAAGAGCGGGGTTTAGTTCGTTTACAAAATATTAATTCTACTCAACGTCACGTCCAATTACGTCTGCGAAACAAAAGGTTGGACGTTAGGACTCTCTCGCGCACGCGCGCATGCACGTTCGCACGCATATTGCTGATAAAATAAGCTATAACTGACACAAGGTAATGTATACAAGAACAAGAAACTCCTATACTTTATATCTGTGCAGGAAAGACCGCTTCAAACTTTATTTGGTAGATATAAAATCCTGCACTATTAAAAAAACAATATATCATTATAGAGACTCGATTTATCCTGATCTGCTGTATGCTTTTTAAGATTTAGGTTCTGTTCTTACGTACCTTCATCATGCTGGCCTGATCGACATTAAATTTGATCCACGTGTAAGTTGGTCGATGCTCTGTTGCTAGCAGGGTGTAATTCAGCGTAGTAAGTCCACTGTCCCAAGGCCCGTAGTGCCTATACAGTTGCGGTGCAAACTGGAGCATGGGACCTCTATGAATTATTTGCAATGGCAATCATTATACAACGGAAGCTATGCAGCATTGGAAATTCTGCAGAATATATGGCAATGGGTATGCAAAAACAACGAGAGTGGGACCAAGCGAAAATTCTCTGTTGCTAGTAGGATGTAGTTCAATGTATCAAGTCCGTCGACTCACATTCCATAGAAAAAAATTATATTATATGGATATAAACCAGAAGAATGGAAGACCTTTAAATTATTTTAATAATAATCATTTAAGAACGAAATAAAACATTTGCTTAATGATTGAAAATGAGTGGGCTTATGCAGAATTTCAAGAAGGCAAATATGATTATAAGTCACCGGGAATTCGAATCACTTTACTTAAAAAACTCTTGAAAAAAACACTATTAAAATAGTTAGTGATTAGCAGGTCGAATAAGTACTGGATACAACATGTACTAGCATATTTAAAAAGCACATGTAGGCTACTTGTTTTGGTTCAAGTAAGATGGATTTAAAATTTGTTTTTGTTTTTTTTTTTTTTTTTTTTTTGTCATTTTTAAATCATTATGCCATTTTTAACTTAAAAGTAATATTAAGCAAGCCCTTGTATCAGCCTAGAATATTACTAGGGGTGCAAAAAAACTTCTTTTTCTTTTTCACAAGATACATGTACTTTATAATATACACTGTATTATAATAACTCACTTTTCCATGTATACGTCACCAGGCAACCGCGGATGGTTTAAAACTCTGTACACGCCCAAACGATTGTTGGCATGCTCAATAGGAACCTTTTGATATACACTCCTAAAACAAGTCAGATCTGGTTTAATTTAAAATCGTACACCAACATTCAAATTATGATTGCGTTGTGATTTTGGCGGGAGAGGCTGTAAACTCTACCCCTTATCCAAAACAACCATCTGTCGCCCTTACCAGGGGCTTATCAATGGCGGATTTAGAGGGGGGTTAGGGGGGTCCTGACCTCCCCACCCCCCTTCGAATTCTGAATAAAATCACACCAATGGCCCCGTCTTGAAATTATAATTTTGACTAGCTGAATCATAGCTCTAAACCATTCCAAATGGCACTTTTTGCCCTCTAAAATACCATTTTTATGGGGTCCTTAAGCGGGCCCCCAACCCCACGCCCTTCAATTTATCCTGGGTCCACCCCTGCTTATTTCACTCTGATATAACAGTGCTTTTAAAACAGCCAACAGCAACAGTCGGTCATATTTAGTCCGCGGATCAGCTTGTTATTTATGCGCTCTAACTGAACGGTAATGAGGACTAATTTTAGTTGCATTTGTATCTACTGGTAACTTGTGAGTGTATGCCATCCCAAAATAATATTCAGAAGAACCAGTGCGATCAACTGTTAATGATTTTACCGAAAAGGGTTATATTTGCTTAAAAATTACCCTAATGATGAAGGGATAAATCACCTACAGTACCGGCGTCCATAAGCATGCCACTTACCTTAGAAAAATGTCGTCGTCATCACCACCCCATCCTATGTAGTTATTAGCAAACCCATTTATCTTTTTGAATGTGTCAGGAGTGAATCCAATAACTCCTCCGATGTAGTTTTTATAGGGGAGCCTGAAGTCACAACATGCAAAGCTTTATATTTATTCATTTACTTATAATTTTTATCTTTTTACTTATTTGTTTATTTCGTAAAATACTTGGATTTGAAATTGACAAAATAGATAAAACAGTCTTTTAAAGATCTTTTAAACAGCCGAGATCGCCTTATTGTCGCATTTTCAGTGATAATTTTCATTGGCAGAGAGAATCGAGATTCTGAAATCGAAGAGAGAGAGACAGAACATGAGCGAGAGAGAGGCTGTGTAGCGGATTATTATCACAGACCTGTACTTAAACCTATCCTCAGCGGAGGCAAAATGAAGAACTCTGCCAGGCGGACATCTATAGAGCAGTGAATTGTTCATAGGGATTTTATCCACGTCGTGAAATATGTAGCAGGTGAAATTGAACGTGGCACTGGCCTCGACAAATCCAATATTTTTGGCATATCCGGTGTTAAAAGGTTCTGGGTGAGCCTGCAGAAATATGAATACGCTGATTAAGATTTAAAACAGCACCCGATGTGTTCAGAAAACAAATGGAGATGAATTGAAATGAAGTGACGCAGGGTAAAGTTCAAAAAGTTTTGATAGAGAAAAGTTGAATGTTGCCGTCTTGCAGGAAACTGAATAAAGATGGTGTACGAACCCTTGATACTACCTATCTTTGTGGCACCCGAGGATCTGATACTATTAACTGAGACAGAGGGAGAGAGAGAG